AGTATCATCTTCTTTTATGGCCTAATTTCCTTTGAGATTGGAGTTGTGGCACACCTTGCTGATCATACCTGGCTTTGCTCTGTAAACAGTGCTGTACTAGTCTCACTATACCACTAGGCTCTGATCATTAATGGTTACCTTCATTGCCTTGTGGGAGAGCTGGACTCATATCACGTGGCCCAGCAACTGGAGGGAGAGATGACCTGAGCCCTAAATTGCCAGGCTAGGTAGAATATGGTTTCTCCTACCTTGAGCGTGGCTTAGCAGCTATCACAGAAAATTTTCCTTCCTCAGCCCCTGTACTGATGTCCACACCACACTTGCTAGATGGACTTGATAAAGCAAACAGAACTCCTGGCCTGCCTTCAGAATCCTAGCACACAGTTACAGTGTACAAAAGGTGGAGATGCCAGGCTGAGTTCTCCATTAGTGCCTCCCTTCTGGCTGCCACCTCTCATCCCATTGTTTCCTCACTAAGCTTCCTAGGGAATCCAGGTTCTAAGGGGACTGATGTCAACTTAGGAGGACAGCCTGGGGGAGAACTACCAGGTTTAAAGCTCCAGAGACTTCTGACGTTCAGGGGAAGCTAAGCAATGGGCTCAGAGAAGACCAGTCACATGGCTGCCCCTGAGCCAAGATCCTTCACTCTAGCTTGAGGACCATGGAGATTCCCCAGGTGTTTCTGAGACCGTCATAGCCAGAGCCTCATCATCATGCTTCTCTCACTCCCTTTGAAACGCAGCTCCTTCAGGGCAGGCCGCCTCCTGTATGGATACATTTGTGGACTATTTGAAGGCACACATGTCAGGTTGAGCGTTGAGGATGGGACACATCGTCCCTGTAAGTCAGTAGGGGACGAGGGAAGGGTCTGTCCCCAGGTGCTCTGACTTCACTTCCCCACTAGTGAGACTGCAGCAGTCTCTGACTCTCTGGCTTCTCACAGACTCCCTTTGCTTCAGTCAGCTCTGGATGGTGTGAAGAGACATTCCCGAAGGGAAGCAAGCAGACTTGCTCCCACTTCCCCTGCCAGCATCTTTTTCCGTTCCCTGCCCGTCTGCTCCCATCCTTCTGTCTCTGCATTTTGGAACAGTTCCTGTGCCGTTTGCTTGAGTTGGATCCTGAGTAGGGTGGGTAGGGTCAGGCTGATCCCACTCATTGTCTGCGCTGCAGCTGCTTCTGGCAAACTGTTGTCTAGACCATGCCTGTGCGTAGGCAGCATCTACACAGATGTGACAACGCCTCTCTGGTGCACTCCAAGGAGCTGGAGAAAAGAGGCGTAGTGCTCCGGGGGTGGGGGTGGGGGGTGGGGAGCAGGGTTCAAATGATGGTGAGACCAGTGGATCTGCTGAGGGGCAAGCCAGCTAGTGACATGACAGTGGGCAGCTCCAGAGTCACCTGAGGTGCAAAAGCACAGGGTGGCTAACCTTGGTGGGGACTATCACCAATGAGAGAGAAGTGTCTGCTCATTCCTTGAGTGTCTGCTGGGCCAGGCTGGGCACTGGGGATGAATGATTTACCGGTGTGAATGTTGTAGATGTATGTATGTATGTGAATATATGTATGCGTGTGTATATTGGGTATCCTGTTTCACCCCCCCCCCACCATGGAAATTTCTGTCTGTTTATATAGGGGTAGACATTAACCATGTAAACATGTGAATAAGTACATAATGACAAGATACAGAAAATGCTATGTGAGAAAGTTTAAAATGTGTCTAGAAACTGTTTCTTTCTTCCTTGCTTTTATGTGAATGACTGAATCTGCTTCCAACATGAGTTGGTTTGACACAGGTCACAGCCAAGCCTGACTATGGTTTCTTCCCTACCTGAAGATATTGGGTGTCAGGGGCCCACTGAGGGACATGGCCCCACTTACTCTCAGAGTGAAAACAGGTCTGCGCTGTGGTGGCATACATCTTCCAGGTCAGCAAATTGGAACTTAACAGGAGGCGAGCCTAGTAGGCCAGGCTAGGCGTGCATCAGGGCATCTACTTTCCTAGTTCACTGCATCTGGTCTCTTAGGTTTTAGAATAAAGTGAGATGATGGAAGCCTGAGAAAATAGAACCCAAAAGGCAAGGATGTTTAAATTTTTAGGGTAGGGGAAGACCTTCCAGTGATATGGCAAAAAAGAGTATGATAAGGAAAAGAGAGACATTTAACTGTATAAAAATGTAGTTTTTTCCCATTTAAAAATAGATTAAGAAAAACTTTACATCATGTGGCCACAGCCTTCCTACATAAAGATGCTGTGACTGTCGCGTCAGAATGTGTTCCTAGCTGACTGTGATTCAGGGATCCCATTTGAGCATTGAATTGAAACTATCCTGAGATCACCCTTTAGTGAAGGAACAAAGTAGCAAGCCAAACAAAGGCTATTATTACCTTTGAGAATGATGATCTATGGGGGAGAAAAAAATCTGTACAACACTAAATGGTAAACAATACTTTCAAGTAAAGATGAGTAGAGTGGCCAGATACAAGGATCTTGGAAATGGAACACATTGAAAGTGAAGGCTGGCTTATTGTTATAAAAGTTAACTGTTGTCACTGAACAAATTCTGTAGAAATTGTCAAATGGAAACCTACTTTACTATGTAAACTTTCACCGAAAAACCCACTAAAATACCTCTTTTCACAAAGGAGGAGGACAAACTCAGTCCTTATAGACGTTCTCCCTGAATTTGTTGATGTGACTGTACGCTGGCACAGGTTCCCTGAGATCGGCTGGCTTTCAGTTTTAGACGCCTTTAAAAACGTCTTCACTTGACCTGGCATTTCCACTTCTCAGAACTGAAGAAATGAGAAAGATGTACTAAGATGTATGTATGTGATAATTAGTAAAGAGTATTTAAAAAATAATTGTGTACCATTAAAAGTCTGAATCGTCCCATAGCTCACCCTCCAGTGGGTTTTTCAAGGTAGTAAATACTACAAGTGGGGATTGCCCATCTTTCTCCCATGGAGCACCAATGGATTCAAACCCCTTTGCATCAGCAGCACAATTCCATACCACTAAGCCTTCAGAGTTCCCTATTTAGAAAGCATTTAGATGCCTTTAATGGAGTGGTCAGATAAATCATAGGCTCTTTATACCAGCAAGTAGCTATTCCAGGTGATGCTGGTGTATACTATCTTGCAGGAATATTAATGGTGGTTTTTTTTCTAGCTGATGTGTATTTCACATACCATGAAACTTGCCCTGTATTTTAGGGAGTAAAAAAGAAGCTTACAAAATGATACTATTGTGTGGTCCAGATTTTTGTTGTAATGAAAACGATATGTAAACACAGACTCACACAAACATACATACATACATACCAGAAAAGTCGGCCAGAATCTTAACACAAATTACATCTGGGGGTAAGATTGTTTTTTGTACTTGATGGCCAGTTGCCATCAAGTCAGTTCTGGCTCATAATTACTCCATGTATGGAGTTCAGTTGTTCCATAGAATTTTTAAGCATTTTGGAAACAATCCCCAAGTTTGTCTTTTGAGGCACCTCTGTGTGGTTTTGAACTGCCAACCTTCCAGCTAGTAGTTGAATGTTTAACTATTTTTTCCACGCAAGGACTCCTTGGTAATAAAATTATGGATGCTTTATGTTCTCTTTCTCTTGTTTTCATATCTGTAATTGTCTAATGTTTATCCTGGGAACACCAGTTATTTTTGTCTGGGAAAAAAAAAGGTTACAAAAGTTTGGGGTTCTGTCTTTCCTCATGTTTGACAGAAGATTAAAGATTATACTCTTAAGTGTAGTTATCAGGTCCCCTCACTCTGAGCCTTGCCTCTCTCTAGATTGCCTCTTGCTGCCCCCTGGATAAATAGCCTATTCCAGGCTTAGTGTGTCAGAGACAGTAAGATTGGCTCAGGATAGAACAGGATTCAGAGCTATTGTGCATAGGGTCACCATGAGTCCTAGTCAACTTGACAGCACATCACAACAGTTGTAGAGGACTAGGAGTTTGTCACTTACATTCTTATGTTGCATGTACCCTTAGCTTATGTCCCTTCCAGTCCCACCCACTCAGGGAAGTCCCCCTGAGCCCCTCAACCAGGCTGGGCACCTGGCCTTCCCTGGGCAGCCCTCTGATTAATCCTCTGTCTCTCCATCTACAACTCATCTGTGTACGTCTCCCTTACACCTCCCGGACTCTGCTCTTGAATTGTTTCGCTTTGGAAAGCTTGGAGAAGAAACTGTTTTTCTTTTATCCAAGTCAGGAGGTTAATGTCTTCCAGAATCTGGTTCCTTTGTCCCCTTTTCATTTTACCTCTTGAACGAATAGAGATACCCAGGCAAATCAAAATGCTTGGTGATCTCGAGTGTTGTCCTTAAACTGTACTTTAAATGAGTTTCTGAAGATAGGATAACAAGAAGAGAACATCCTTTGAGATCGCTAGGATGTTCCTCCACCTGACAGAACCTAAGAGAGTTTGGGAGTAGGGGTCTTTGGGACCATACCTCTCAAATTTCATGGAGTATGAGAAATCCCCCAGCTTCATGTTTGCCAGGCCATTTCTCAGGCCTCACTCGCCAGAGAAGGGCCCAGAAGTGAGCACCTCACACCACATGGCTGTGGAGAAAGGCCTCACTTTGAGAATGCTGTGCTGAGGTGCACGCAGAGCTGACGCCTCTGTGTCTCTGGTTGTCTCTCAGGCACCCATTTGGCTTTAACTCTGCACTAAGCCCAGTTTCCTCCTCATGACATTTGACAGGCTCCTCAGAGGCAGGCTGACCCCCACCTCTGTAACCAGTATATGCTGCTTTGAAGTGCGTGCCCCTGTAGCCCCTAATTAATCTCAAGTCAAGGAGTGTTCATTCTTTGCCAGTGGGAACTATCATGCTCCTCAGAGAGGGGGAGGAGGTGGCGGAAACAGCAGCAGCAGCAGCTGTGTGACGCATCCCCAAGCCAGAGACTTGCAGCACCCGGCTGGTTAGCATAAGAAAACTCGATGACTTACTCAGTGTGAAGGGACCTTTCTGTCTTGTTTAGAGCCGAGAATGAAGCGGAGAGCATCAGATAGAGGAGCTGGGGAAACGTCGGCCAGGGCAAAGGCTCTAGGAGCTGGCATTTCCGGAAATAATGCAAAGAGAGCTGGACCGTTCATCCTTGGTAAGCTTCTTCTGCCTTTTGGGTGAGGGTGCACTGACCTGCATGGTCCAGAGTGGGGGGCTCTATCCAGGATAGTCTGGCCCTTCACCATTTTCAGTGAAGCTTATCTTCATCAGCAGCAGCTCTGGGAGCCGTAGGTCATTCTGTACTAAGGCTTGTCATTTGTGCTGTCATCACCCCAGCCTTACATCAGTCTCAGCTGAGCTGGCTTCTGTTTCTTCCCTGAGAAATTCCTATGTCTGCTCCCGGGGTGCCCACTGTGCTCGGGGGCACACGACTAGAAGATACGTTGGTTTCTAGGCATGTATTTGATCACATCTTCAGACAATGGGAATAATATCACAAAACATTTTGTAGAGCATGCTCTCCCCCTTTAAAATAAGCTTCTATAGCAGGGCCTTTCTGCAGGGTGTCTGAGGGCCAGCAAGGCCACATTGCTTGTGATCAGCATGGGTTCTGAGGGGCCTGATTCTCCCAGTGGGAGTTTCACTTTGGGACAGCATCTTGGGCTTTTGGGCCCCGTATAATTACATGATTACTGATGCCTGCTGTATACCAGACCTGGGCTGTTGGCCAGGGATGCAACAGTGATCAAGTTAGATGAGGTTCTTTTCCTCATAGAACTTAACATTCTAGTGAGAAAAAGAGATATCACTGATGTTGATAAATGCCATGAAGGAACAGTGAGAAGTGATCAGAGTCTATAGATAGCATAGTCTAGGGAGGCCTCTGTGAGGAAGAGATGTTAGATCTGACACCAAACATGAAAGAAAGCCAGCCACGTGAAGAGCCAAGGGAAAAGCATTCCAGACAAAAGGAACAGCAAGTACAAAAGCCTGGAAGCAGGAGGGTTTAATGTGTTGAAAGAATTAAAAAGCTGGTACAGCTGGCATGTGGTAAGTGGTTGGAGGTGGGGATATTTGAAATTAGAGGTTGCAGGAGGTAAATCATACAGGGTCTTGGAGACCCAGAAATAAGTTTAGGTTGCACATTAAGGGCGAATGGCAGAACACTTCGATGGGTTTTTTGTGGGACAGCAGCCCTGTGAAGTAATATGATTTACCCTCTGAAAGTTCAGGCAGGATTCTGTCCAGGACAGCAAGCAGAAGGTGAGCTGTCAGAATCTCCAGGGCAACCTGTTAAAGTTGGATCCCAATCATAGTTTCTGATTTAGAGAATCCAGACTGCAGAGTACAATCTGCATTTTAACAAATGCTCCCTGGAGATTTCAGCATGTACTCTTTGTGAGAAATGCATCTGCACAAGAATTAGGTGTGTCTCAGGCAGATGGGCACAGACCTCCCCAGTTTAGGAGGGGAGACTCCACTGGGAGATTCAGTGGTTGGATGTAGGAAGTGGTCTGTCCAGTGGGTGTGAGCTCCGATATCTCCTGATGCAAAGACCTGGCCAGAAGACCAGGAGATGACACAGTTCTCTGTACCATAGGTCCCCGTCTGGGCAACTCACCAGTGCCCAGCATTGTGCAGTGTTTGGCGAGAAAGGATGGCACAGATGACTTCTATCAGCTGAAGGTAAGTAGGACATGTGGTTGGGGGTGGCTCAAGACTCAAGAGATCCTTGCTGCCAGCCCTGTACCTTCTTCCTCTACCTTCACAGCTGCATCACTTGTGAACAAGAGTAGCGCCGTTTCTTACCGTGAAGCAATCAAGTTCACACAGTTGTGCTCTGAACAACTCCTAATTTGAAGAGTTTTATCTGTGCATAAATCACAATACTGTCTCAAAGAAAAAAGATTTGAGACGGGAGGGGGCCGGGGAGAGAGAGTGTGAGAATGTGTATGTGTGATACACAAGTGACCCCACCCCCACCCCCCGCTTCTGACCTAATCATTCTGCTTTGTAATATAAGGCTTTGTGAGTTTTGATTTGTTTGTTTGTTTTGGTGCTTTCCCCAAGATCCTTACCCTTGAGGAAAGGGGAGATCAAGGAATAGAAAGCCAAGAGGAAAGGCAAGGCAAGATGCTACTGCACACGGAGTACTCTCTGCTTTCCCTCCTCCACACCCAGGATGGCGTGGTCCACCACCACGGGCTCTTCCAGGTGAGTGCCAGAGGCGCCTGCCTGCCCCCTTCCCAACTGGCTGACTGGCATTCACTGGGCAGCTTACAGTTTGTGCCCCCTGGTGTCCCTACCACTCTGGGTAGGTCGGCTTCCTAGGCAGGGCAGGGGGAGGTCAGGCAGGGGCCAGCTCCTGCTGCGAGGACACAGCCGGCCTGGCAGACGCACACAGCTTGTATTTATGGTAGCTAGGCTTTCTTTGAAGAGCCGCTTTTCCGAGAAGAGGGGAAAGCAGGAAGTCATTTAAAGACACACGCTCTTTGAGCAGATCAGGCTTCAGCTGCAGTGTTAGGATTTGATCAAACTAGGGCAGACCAGAGAAAACCTGTGGGTTATCCAGTAAGCAAGGTAAACGCACGCTTCCTTGTGCTTACTAAATAATCTGTAATGAGTAGATTCACACGGCCTTCACCATATCTGGGAAAAACCATGTGAAATGGTTTTCCGCAGATTATTAGTAAGCATAGGTCAGTCCTTGCAGCTTGATTCTGTAGGAAGGTGCTACAGGATTAGGAAAGGGACAGATGGCCAGTCATGCTTAAGCAGAATCTTTGATGTGATAAAAAAAAAATGTGAACTTGCTCCCTGCGTATCAGTATGTAAGCACAAATAAGCCTGTGCTTGCTTTGCCGACTGAGAAATATGACACTGGAGGGAAATGAGGAAGAGCCCGGCCTTTGGGGTTCCCCATAGATCGTCATGGTTGTTTGGTTCCAGCAGTCCTTCTGTCTGTCTGAGCTTTCAGTCTGTTTCAGCAGGTGCCCCCTGTGCTGAGGATGTTCCAGGTCCTGGCTCATAGCAATGCGTAGCCTGGGAAGAGCTATCTTTGGGGCAGAACTGAAATTGTGTCTTCAAGAATTGGTAACAACAGTGCATCTAAATTCCAAAATGAATCTCCATAATAGTCTATGTGTTTCCTACTGCCCAAGGGGCCCTTTAGAGTAGTGAGAGAAGATCTTCACCCTGAAACCCACAGTGTCCCTTTTCAGCAGGAAGTAGCTAAGAGAATACGCCATCCCCTTTTCCTTATGAATCAGGGTGAAGTCTCTCTCAGGGAGGAGTGATAGGGAATGGCAAAGGACACACTGACAAAGGAGATTAATCAGAACTGACTTTGACAAGCACTGTGGCAATTGGACAATTAAAACAGACATTCGGATGGCGGGGGAAGAAGAACAAACTGGGGAGGAGGGTAGAGAGAATGGTGCAGCAATGAAGGATTGAAAACCCAAAATCCCTATAAATGTTCATTAAAACTAATAAAATTTAATAATAAAAAAAAAAGAAGAATTGGGTTGAGAACAACGGCTAGGCCTCCTGCTAAGAGAGAAGAGTAGCTCAACGTTCCACAGAGCCCTGGGCTAAATGCACTGGCCAGGACCAGCTCTTGCCCAAGTGGACCTGCTGGGTGGCATGGAGTCAGGAAAGGCACACAGTCCTTGGAGCCAGATTGTCCTGGATTTGGGCTATGTGACCTTGGTCAGGTCACTACAGGTCTGTGAGCCTTAAGGGACAGTGCTCATGCTTCCTGCCTTGTACGATAGCTGAGAAGATGGAGGAGTTACCACAGCTGCTGCTGCTACATAGTCAGTCATCCTTGTTATTTCACGTGATGAAAACTCCTATAAGTTTGGTTTCCTAAAATAAAAAAAATGGGAAGTCTCCAGACATCACACCCCACCAAGGCCTTCATTCTTAGATTTGCAAATATAGGTAACCCTTGCTATCAGGAGGCAAATCCTAGGATGAAAGGGTTTTCCTTAAATATGAAATCAAATGAGAGTGATTGTAATTCCTTAATAATCATCAATGATACTTTGAACATCTTGACTTGTTTTGTGTCATTTTGGATGATAGCATAGGAAGCAGAGATATTTCTCCATCATCAGAGTGCCAGACACTGTGCTGAGGCCCTAAGGAAGAGAAAAGAGGAAGTAGAGTCCTGCTCTTGTGGAGAAATGTGAATGGAGTCCCCAGGGTGGCAGACAGTCTCCTGGAGATGACGCTGAGGACCTGCATGAGCTGACAGGTTCAAGTTCTCAAGTAATACCTGTTTTGGGTCTTGCCTGAAATACGTTTTCAGGCAAAGAGTAAGATCTAGAGCTTACAGCACAGTACACTTTATGAACATTGAGGTAGGATCTGTGTTAGCACTTGCTGGATTGTCTCCATTCACTCAGCAGCCTTTGAGGTAAGGATGCCAAACTCCCTTTTACAGTGAAGCTGGCTTTGGTTAGGCAAACTTCCCCAGGTCCTACAGCTAGGATAAGGTGGAGCTGAGGAGAGGATGGACCAGCCATGTGACCCCAGAGCCCATGCTCCTAATCATAGCTGCTCAGAAGTACTGCTGCCATGAAGAAAACTAATGTCTTGTTCACATGGAACACTATAATCCTTGGAACCTTCCAGATTGGCCTGTCTTCACCACCACCATCTTAAACATTGATAATCAAAAGGACATTGACATTGGTGGGTGCTGGAGTGCTTGTACTTTACTTTATTGATGAGTTTGTGGAGCTGTCCTGATCTGTCTGCAGTTTATAAGTCAAGGCCTAAGCCTACAAAGCCTTGTCCAACTCTTCCATCCCAAATAGCTGTATTACCAATAACATCCCTCAACAGCATGGATTGACACTGTAGCAGTGGATTCAAGTGTGTCACAGCAGATGAGGATGGCACAGGATAGGACAGGGTTCAGATCTGGTGTTCACAGGGTCGCTACGAGTTGTACTTGACTCAGCAACACCTAACAATAACAAAAATATATTAAAAAAACAGTAGGGGGTGGAAAACACAGTATGAATTGTACCATATTGCATATTGCTTTTTAATATATTTTGTTATTGAGAATATATACAGCAAAACCTCACAAATTCCGCAGTCTACACATATACAGTGCTCTGGCAGCATAGTGTGTAGTGAGCTGCCCAGCTCACCGGATGTGGCACCTCTCTTAGGCATGCTATGCTGTCAGAGATTTGCTGTCTATAAGCTGGACTGAGTCCGTCTTTAGCTTTCAACTTCCCAGCCCTGATGCAAATCCTTTAAGTGATGATCTAAGCATAAAGCGTAATGAGTAGATGTCATAACCTAAGCCCCTCACTTTTAAAAATGGATTGGTGGGTTTGGGATGTTATAAACCGTTCTGGGGTGCCCAGAGGCTGGATAAAGTCCTCTTCCTGTGCCTGGCACAGGACCATGCTGCCATGGGACTTGTTAGGGTCCCTCTCATAGACCATGCATCCAGCTTCAAGGGAAAGGCCCACCCATGGCCCTGGCCCTGGCCCTGGCCCTGCTGGACACACAGCCTAGTCTTAGTCTGGCCTCTTGCCTCCCAGGACCGCACCTGTGAAGTGGTTGAGGACACAGAATCCGGCCGAATGGTTAAGAAAATGAAGAAACGCATCTGCCTCGTCCTCGACTGCCTCTGTGCGCATGATTTCAGTGACAAGACTGCCGACCTGATCAACCTACAGCACTATGTCATCAAGGAAAAGAGGCTCAGCGAGCGGGAGACCGTGGTCATCTTCTATGATGTGGTACGAGTGGTGGAAGCCCTGCACCAGGTGAGGTGCTGCCCCTTGGCCGGCCACTCCCTCCTTGGCCAGCCCATAGTGTCCTGGCCTGTCAGTGATGGAGAGACCTCCTAGCTCCACATGCTGTGGATAGCCACCCTTCTTGTTGCTGCTCTCTGGGGAAATGTCCAGATGAAATGCACACCTTATAAACTCCTGCAAGTCATGCAGGAGACAGCCTATATTCCTGGGGTTGGTGGGGAGCTGGGGAGAACCCAGCCCAGTAATTCCCCATCATTTGAGGGGTTAAACTTGAGTCTCTCAGCTCAGACAACCACTACAAGGTAGACAGTAGGGATTGGTGGTTTTTAAGACTAGGACATATAGACAGGACTGCCTGGAAGAGGTCACAGCTTCTGAGGGCTGAGTCTTGAAGTACCTGGTTACCGGAACTGTGGGACAGTTCATTTCTGCCCACATATCCAGGCCGACAGTTGTTTTATTTCAGCTGATGTTTGATGAGGGGGAGTGAGGGGTGGCTTTCCCCATTCAGCTGCTGCTCTGAGGGGAACAAACTGGGAGAGTGCCCTGCATGCGGCAGAAACTGACAAGGCTCACGTTTTACCTTATTGATGAGTTTATAGAACTGTCCTGATCTACCTGCAGATTACAAATCAAGGCCTAAGCCTAAAGAGAAGTATCATACAGCTCTTGCTTCCATCCCCTGGGGCTGGAGAGCCCATATCTCACAGGCTGGACCCAACCCTGGCTTTCTCCTTTATGGTGCAAGCCATGTTACTTCTAATTACATTTTTGTTACTGAGATCTAGACAAAGTAGAGCATAGACAAATTTCGTGATCTCTACATATGCAGTCCATAGGGAGTTGCCCTAGTAACGCAAAGGCAGCACCTCTTTGCAGTTCAAATCTACCAGCTGCTCCTTCGGAAACCCTTGAGCAGTCTCCTTCCATGCATTTACCGCTTCCTAGAAACCACTGGAGGTCAGCTCTGAGTTGGTTCTGACTCGGCAGCAGTGAGTGGAGTTGCCTTGTGTACACGTTGGTGACATTAATGACATTCTTCATGTTGTGCAACCATTCCTGCCCTCCTTTCTTGAATTCTTCCTCTCCATTAACATAAAGTTTCTTATTTCATTTTTCCAGTTGCTCTTGCCTTGCCTGTTTGCTTTCCTATTAATAGTTCTTTTTAAAAAAAATTTTTTTTAATTTTTATTATTTACGTGTGTGTGTGTGTACCATCAAATCAGATTTGACTGGTACAGGAGGAGATTGTTCCTCCTCCAGCAAAGCATCTGGTGGATTTGAACTGCTCACCTCTCAGATTGCAGTACAGCTTCTTGCCACTAGTGATTGTTCTTTTTTTTAAAAAAGAAAAATTATATTAGCTTACGTACAAAATTCATATGCATTGTATTTCACGCTTCCCTTCATTCATGTTGTGTTTCATACAATTATTCCCCTACATTGAGTTGTTTTTGCTTGGTTTTTTTAATCTCCAGACCTTTTTATTTGTTTACATAATAAGCTGTCATATTTTAGTGCTAAATTGATTACTCAGCGCTGTGATATAATCTAATGGGCTGAGTTGCAATTTTGTGGTTTTTGACATGACAAATATTAATTAACCTAAACTCTCTGAAGGCTTTTCCTGTTTGGCTTTTGGGGTTTTTTTGGGGGGGGGTATTTTTTATTTATTGTTGCACATTTTCTCCCCCTTCCCCCAGTCCACTTTGTTCCATATTGTTGTCATACATATAGTACATCATATATTCCTTTCAGACAGTTCTTCCCCTTATCCATTGTAATGCAGTGTTCATTATCCATCTGCTCTTTCTCCATTCTGTTCCCAACTCCCTGATGTCTGTTGTATTTTATAACAGTGATGTATAGTATTTGTCCTTTTGTGACTGAGATATTTCACTTACTTAGCATAATGTCCTCAAGGCTCCTCCGTGTTGTGTGATGTTTTAATGTTTCATTGTTTTTCCAGTGCTGCATTGTTGTTGTTGTTGTTGTTGTTGTTGTTGTTGTTGTTGTTGATTGCCATTGAGTCGAGCCCTTCCACAACCCTCACCATTTATCAGAGTTCACAGAGTTTCCAGAGGCATGCTGTTTAGGAAGTAGATGCCACTCCTGCTTCCAATGCTGTGTAGTATTCCATTATGTGACTGTACCATGTTTTTTTGTTTTGTTTTAATTTTATTAATTAATTAATCTGTGTACCGTCAAATCAGATCTGACCGGTACCGGAAGAGATTGCCCCTCCTCCAGAAGAGCATCTGGTGGATTTGAACTGCATTCCTCTGGGATTAGCAGGGCAGCTTCTTGCCACTAGGCCACCAGCCCCCCAGAGCTCCCTTGTACCATGGTTTTCATATACATTGTGTGTTATGAAATTAATCCCCATTGATTTATGCCCACCATTTTATTTATCCCATTTTTTGTTCAAGGCAGACATTTTTTTTTTTACTAGGTAAGCTAAAGTGCTATTTGGTTTTAAGATTTCAGGGGATATATTTCAAGGCTTGAATTTAAACATCTCCATTCAGTAGTTTCAGCCTCTTTTAACTCCAAAAAGTTTTGCATCCATGACAGTTTTAAAATCTATTCTGCATTTTCCCCTGTTGATCGCTATCAGTATTCATCTGTAAAATCTTTGATCAAAATCAAACCATATCCTTTTTTTGTTTTTTCAGAAAAACATTGTGCACAGAGATCTAAAGCTTGGGAACATGGTGCTCAATAAGAGGTAAAATTTGCTTATCTTCTTTCAGAGTGTAACTTCGAGGCTGGAGTGGCTCCCAGGAATTCCAGAGTCTAGAGAATGGAGATGCTGGTCTCTGCCTTGCCATATGAGAATATGGTGTTTGCTAAGAGTGAATGTCTTAAAGGCCACAGTCAGGAAAGTCTGGGAAGAATTTCAGAGCTCTTCCTGGTCCATGCATTTGTCTTGTTTGGCTTCTGCTGTGTGCTCAGTAAAGGACTATAGAAATTACAGCTGAGCAAAATGAGGCCTTGTCATTGGTTGGATTCACCTAGAAACAAACCCTGAGATTTGTATATAGGGTGTTGACTGGAGGTGCTATCAAAGAGAGCACAGCTAGACAAGGGGGAATACTGAATCTTAATACAGTTGTAACAGAGCCTGAGCTAGAAGAGTTCAAAGCTGGTGGCCCTTCAGAGTCCCCAGATCAAGGCAAGAGGCCTGGCCTCTCTACCCTCCAGTCACTTGTCACTGTATGTGCGTTATCCTTAGGGAGCAGCAGAGCCTTGGGCAGGACTCTTCCCTCTGGCTAAAGGCATGTTCCATGAGGGACATGGCTACGAGTGATCCGTGATCTGAGACCAACACTCCTAGCAGCAGGGCAAGAGTGTGCTGGTCCTGATGGAGATTGATTAAGGACCCTGACTCAGACCGTCTCCTGGCTGAGAATCTGGATCCCTTCAGGGAAATAATAGAGGGTCACCAATCATGGAAAGGCCCTGGATTGATGGGAAAAGTAGCTGGCTATGGAAAGGCAGAGCTGGGGAAGGTGTGCCTCCCCTCCCTCTCTCTCTGAGGCCTTCCTCAAGCCTCACCTCTTCCTCACCTTCATGTTGCAGTTAGTCAAAGGATTATAAATGGTATGCTGCACAAATTTTCCAGCAGAAGGGGTATGGTGGGTGATCTGTCCCATAATGTGGTCATGTTATTCCCCCCGGAGTAGCCAAAACCATAGTCAGTGGTCACAGAAAAAAGGGAGGGGCACCCACTCCCCAGCTCCATTCTGAGACAATGCCAGAAGGACGCTGCTGCCCTCAGTGACTCAGTCATCTCCTCCTCCAGTACCCGGGCTGGTGGTGGAGAATCTTTTTGCTGCAGCTCCTGCTCCCAATCAGAAGACAGGTCATTTATGGAGGGCTGGGGGCACACCAAAGTGGGCATTTCCATCTGAATTGATTCGTGAAGCTTGAGAGAAGTTGCCAGAAAATTATGAAATGAAAGCCTTCCCTGGCAGGGAGGAGGAAAGGACAACAGGAAATTCCAGGGCTGCTTGAACCCTTGACTGGGTGCAGCGCATGGACTTCAGCGTTGAAACTGGGTCGCGGTCCAGTGCTGCCTCTTAGTTACTGCCGTGTCTGGAAGAATTTGCTCATTTGATTATTTACCACTTGGTTAATTCTTTCTGCAGCTGGGTATTGAAACCAGCTGTGGTGCTGAGCTTCCCAAGCCTCGTCTGTGACAGTGGGATGAGCATACCTTCGTGGTGTGCTGAGTTTGAGATTTAGTGGACATGAAATAGCCTAGCAGGGTCAGACCCATCAGCCATTAACTAGCCGTGGCTAATGGGCAGGAGGATAGAGGATGCATGTGCTCGCTCTCCTCCAGGTCCAAGGCCTGCTCTACAGAGACCCTGAGGAGAAGACCCAGCAATACCTCGTGGCCCAGTTCTGAATTGAGACAGCTGTTGAGAGTACTGACTGCCCCAACCCTGAGTTCTGGAGAGCAACTCAAGTCTCATAGTTGGGGGACCTGACCCTATCCCCCTCCCCTGACATCTTGGGCCAGTCCCCATTCCACTCTGGGCTGCAGGCTCACTAGTCACAAAAGACAGAGCACATACTTTCTAGAGCCTCAGTCTGTCTGGGTGCAGAGCCCAGGTTCTCCCAGCGGGGCAGGAAGGGCTCCCTGGCCTTTCACAGCAGCCATTCACTGTTCTAAGTAAACATGTGGAGTTGTTATGGGCACAGGAGGGTGCAGGGGCTGGGGTGGAGGGCACCCCAAGCCTTGTCTCCCTGGTGCTTTACGCTCACCTCCCCAAGCCCTCTTAGGAATGCAGCAGGAGGTCACACTCTCTTGAGTAATGCCAGAGTTGTAGCAGCTCTGAGAGAGAGAGGGAGGGAGAGAGTAGAGAGTCACATCAGCATCTTGGCTGCATTTCTTTTAATCTGCTATTCCCACCCAACCAACCCTCTTTGTGCCTTGTGACAAGCAGAGGTCTGGCCACCAGTCACTTGAGTCATGAATGCCTTGGAAGGGGACAAGGTGGTATGGGGCAGTGACCTAAATGCCCACTCAGAGACTACCATGTGTCCCCAGATTCACCCATCTCTCTCAGGGCCTCACTTTCACCTGCATTGAAGTCAGAGTTCACCTAGAGCTGATCCAGCCCCTTCTGCCCCTCCCTACCCTTCCCTGCCCCAGATACCCCTAAACTGGAGAGGCAGCTCCCAGGGAAGGAGGCGCAGGAATGTGTTTGCGTGGCCATTGCAGTGACAAGTTCACCCTACTTTGAACAGGGCCACAGAGCCCATTGCTCCTTGGCTAGTTGAGTCCTGCGAGGCCATTTGTGAGGCAGCTCCAGTGACAAGTCCACCGTTCTGAAAGAAAGAGCAAAGAGTGACATAAATGTGAGGTTATGTGAGCTGTGTTGTGGTCTCTTCTTCCTCCTTGTTTTTTGGCTAGGCATGTTGTGCACCAAGTTCCTAGAAAAGGAGAAAAACACTGTGGTAGCCCAAAGGGCCATTGCTAGAGAGTGACTCACTCAGCCGATACTGCTGACGCACTTCTCCCTCCCTTCATCCCTCGCTGCTCTCTGCTCTCGCCCTCCCGTCAGAACCAGACTGGGGGGTCTGGGACTCCCAGGGAGCTGGGCAACAGCCAGCCAACTTGGGTGGTGGTGGCAGGGCAGGAGGTGCTGCCAAGCATCAGGCGGCCAGCTCAGAAGGTTCTAGAGCTGAGTGTTGTTTTTTGTGAGATACTCCAAGTCCTCGGCAGATCTGCTGCTCAGCTCGAGTTCCTGCTGGTCCCTGGGCTCACCTGTCTCTCCCCATGGTCAGCGGATCAGAGTCATGTCCGAGAGTTTAGGTGAAAGCTCTGCTCACACCGGCATGTGCACCTCAGGGCCTGTTACTCTATGACACCTCTCACTCTGTCCTCAGAGATCATTCCTTTCCAGGGTCTCCCATGTAGAGCCTCCCCAGCGTGCCACCCATCTGAGGAGATAACACTAGTAATTGCAGACCAGTTACTCTTTGCCAGGCGCTGAGCTAAGTGCTTTCCTGGGATTATCTCCTTATCTCATTAAATCCTAACACAAGGCCAGGAGTTAGGTGCTAATATTTCTGTAGGTTTACAGCTAAGGAAATTGAGGCTTAGCAAGAGATTTAGTCACATGCCCAGGATCAAACAACAAAGCAGAGGTAGGGCCTGGACTGGACTTGGTGGCACCCAAGTCACGATAGCCTGTTCCCAGAGCTGTCCTCCTATTGCCTGGTCCTAGGGACCCTCCCTTTGGGATACCCCTCCAGCAGCAGTGGGGGAGGAAACACACACTGCTCTGTGGGAATTTCACTCAGGAATATAGAGACCCAAGCAGTCCCATGTTGGAGCAGATGACAGAGGAGCCACGGTACGGCTGGAGTCCACATCTGGACGTGCGCGTGATCCTGGGCCATGTCCCTTTGCCCCAGGCACCCGGAGCCATCGTTCAGGCTTCTGACAGGGCAGGCCTCTGTGGGGAGCTGGAGTTGATGTTTCCGTTTGGAATGTGGAGGACAGACTGGTCTTTGTTTCTCGCCAAGCCCTTTGCCAGCAGAATTCCCCAAGATGGCTGAAGGGCTCTGGAGCCTCTTGGATGCAGCTCCTGGGGAATTCCACCTCCTCCCTGTCATGCTCAGTGCCTCTGAGCTGACCCTCTTTTCCACTGGAGGCCCCTGGTGTTGCTTCTTTTCCTGCCATGCCCCCCATTTCTCTGCCCAGCTGGTGGGAGCAGGGCAGACAGCTGGCCCTGACCTCACTGCGCTCTCTTCTAAGATGGTGAGGAAGTCTTTCCCAGGCCTCCTCGGCCTGGCCTTTCCTGAGCCCTACAACAGCCCAACACCAACACCCCTCCCCCGGCCCGTTGGGCAAGATGAGGTCTCCTTTGGGAGCGCCTTGCTCTGGTCACATCATGAGCTTCCTGGAAAAGGACATGAGCCCTCAGCTGTGCTCTCCCTCAACTCCTTCCAGTGAGTGGATTTATGGTTTTCTGGGTCTGAAGTGCAAGACAAAGAATGAGTCAGCATTGATGGGGTAGAAGGAGCAGCCCGGAGCTGGGACAGTGCTTGGGGACACACCTGGGCCCCAGCAGGGTGGGCTGTGGAGTCTGTCTACTCTGGGTGTGCATCCCACTCTGCCACACTTGCTGTGTGACGTTGGGCACACACCTCACTGCCCTGTGCTTTGTTGCCTTGGGATGGAGTGGTGGTCAGTTCTCCCTCAGACAAGATCATGAGGATTAGGTGAAAACTGCAACACCTCAAGTACAAAGCGCATTCTCAGGAAGGTCTCAGTATGCTGTTGCTGCTGATTGATGATGATGAAGGGGGCGAAGTGCAAAGTGGCAGCTAGAGTAGACGCCCTTGTTTCAACCTGCCCTGGGAGCAGGTTTGTCAGCTCTCTGTGCCCCTGGACTCCCCGGGTTGGTTATGTCCTCCAAAGCAAACAGCCTTAACAGGCTGCTTGCCCAGGACTTCCCCAAGGATTCTGGGGTATCCCCATGAGCTTCCTGGGAGTCTGGCATTGGTGTCACCTGCCTGGCCTAGGCTGTGGGGATCACGTCCCTTACCTAGTACCACTGTTAGCTGCTCTGTGCCCAAGCTCTGCCACTCCTCATGAAGCCTCTGGCGACACTGCAGATGTCCAAGCATCATCAAGAACAGACAAACTCCTTGTCACCTTAGGCCTTCATGTGACCTGGCAGCGTGATCTCTGAATTCACATGCTCAGCTGTGGTCTGGCCTCAGCCCCATCACCTGCCAACCCAGTTAAAAATCTACAAATACTTTCCAGTTCAGTGTCTTCTAGGCCAAGCAGGACAGGAGATGAAGTGTCCTTACTGGTCACCCAGACTGCTAGTCCTGATAGAATGGGTCTCTTCTCATCAGTAGCAGAGGCCATGTTCTCAGAGGGGCCTCTTACTGAACTTTGCACCAGGACAGACCCAGCAGGTGAGGCCCCAGAGCTGGTCAGGAATTGTAGGGAGTAGCTGTGGGGAGCTGCACTTGGGCTAAAGCTGGCACACAAAAAGCCCCAACACTGTGAGCACTGAGCCTTTGCCATGCCCAGATGCTTTGGGGTGGGTTGTAGGGGTTCACAGCATGCCAAGATTCTGAACATGGCACCAGACCAGGCAGCTATTTGTTACATTGTATCTAGACCACCCTGAGTCTGAACCAGCTTGATAGCAGCTAGTAACAAATCCATGTTCAAACCAGGTTTCAGACCTGGGGTGTGTTCCCAAGCCTGTGCTCAGGCACTAAGGTGAAAGCCTGCAGCCGCTAGACATATGCAGCAGTGACGACATTGTCTCTCAGGCCAGCCTGCTGCACAGCTCCTTCTAGTAGTCCCCATCTCTAGGCCTCAGTGTCCCATATAGAAAATGAGGGCAGGAATAGTTCCTCCCTTGTAAGATTGCTGTGCCGGTTATAGCACTTAATGCCAAGACAGTTTGGAAAGGCCCCCAGCGCATGGGAGGCACAGCTTTTAGTGGTAGGTACTAACCTTCCACTTCCTCGCCCACACTTAGGTCTCATTATTGTCCTCTCATTTCCGTGAAGTACGTGGCACTTATTCCCACCTCATGGCTTCCACCAGGGCCACATACATCTTTCCCCTTGGGTAAGAGCTCCGCCATCTTCACCCTCCTGGTCCCTCTCGCCCTCCTTGAGCGAACTGGTTCTCCATCTGTGTAAACAGCCGAACCTGGCGCTGTGTTTCTGAGAAGGGCAAATTTCTCCCCGAATGGAAATGTGAGGGATTGCAAATGACACATACATGTGTCGTTCCAGTGGAGGTGAGGTGAGAGTGTCTGTCTTTCAGTGATAAATACCTTGTCACTAGTGTGTGGTGAGGGGAAGTCAGACTGTTGACCCACATGCTGTGTGCCCCCTGCATGGCCTGGTCACAAGTGAGTGACCCAGACGTGGGCGCATAGGCCCCGTGGTTGGGGCTCGCTCCACACAGCAGTCCCTCCATCCGCACCCATGTGACCATCCCCTGCCAGAAAAAAGGAGAGGCTGGTGTTCACAAGAGCAGAGACTCATGTTCTGTTGACAGCTCACATGCCAGTGGAGGTAATGCTATCCTGAAAGTTCCATCCTTCCAGCGCCAGCATCTTCCAAGCATGTGCTGGCCTGCAGCTGGGGTTTTGGAAAGACAGCGAGTGACTAAGGCCGGGTGTGCTGCCACCCTCCTCCCTCCTTGGCCGCCACACCTGGTCAGATGCCAGCTCGGGTGTGGCCTCCTACAGAGACCCCAACCCCTAGGAGCAACAGGCTGTGTAAGCAGGCCCTTGTCTCTGTCTCGAGGGCATGGGAGAGGGCTGGCTTCAACATAACTGCACCTCCTCAGTTGCCGTGGAAACTACATATGGCTAAGACGGAGTCCTGTGGGTGAGGTCCAGCCCAGACACCCTGTGGCACCTCGTGTGCTTGACTTGGGTTTAAACCCTTCCTGTTCCAGGAAATTTGACACAGCGTCTCTTAGCTTCATTGTCTACAATTTACTGTGGGGATTAAGAAACAGGTAAAAAGTACAGTCACACACAGGACTTGCCCTCTGGTCACGTCATAATGTTGTGGGGGGGTTTTAAAGTCACTCAGCTCTGCTGGCCCTCATTTCCTCATGTGTAGATGAGGGACTTGAACTATAAGTCTCCAGTCTGTCTGTTGAAAAGTCTCAAGGATGTTCCAAGCCCTCAGCTATATCCCTCAAGACTCAGCCAGCCTGGCAGGTTCGGGGACCACCCCACTGGGTGTCCACTGGGCAGGAATGACTCAATCCTTGCTGGGGACAACCTTGCAAGGACACTGTGGGTAACTGCCTGTGGCCAGTGTGGGCTGTGAGTAGAGGGCTGCTGGGCAGGCAGCAAGGGCTGGGGGGTAGAGGAGCAGAAGACAATTCCTTTGCTCCCTGAAGGAGTGGCTGGGGCTTATTCTTCTGTTCAGAAGAAATCCTCTTCCTTTTTTTCAAGACTGTGGGCTGACCAGCTGGGGGTGCCCCACTGATGTCTGGCAGCTAGGAGTACAGACTGAGGTTTGTTCTCTCTTCCACTCCAAGGACTCATCGGATAACCATCACCAATTTCTGCCTCGGAAAGCATCTCGTGAGCGAGGGTGACCTCCTGAAGGACCAGAGGGGGAGCCCCGCCTACATCAGTCCGGACGTGCTCAGTGGTATGTACAGTCTGCCTGGCCCTGGGGCAGTTAATGAATTCAACAGATTCTGTCTCCAGTGCTGGCTTCTGTGGTGCCAGACCAGCTCTGTCCCCTGTGTACTAAAATACATGGTCTGTTGGAGGAAGAAAGCAGTAACCATCACTGACGTGTGTTTAGTTACTCTCTGAGGTGGGTCCTTAGAAGGAAAGAGACGCAATTTCTGTGAGGATATATAAAAAGGCACTTGAAGGCCTTCTCCAAGGAAATAACGGTGGAGCTGAGGACTTGGGATATGTGACAGGCCGAGGCTGAGCACTCCAAGGAGGCATAACACATTTGAGGAACTGGCGGAAGGTCCCTTTGGTTGCTGTTCAGAAAAGGATCCTGGTTCAGGGGAAGCTAGAGAGACAGGGAGAAGCCTCATAATACCCCACTTGGGCCCCGGTGGGGCATTTCAGGTGTACCAGGAGCCCAGCGAGCAGGTCTGATGTGAACGCCCATGAGGGGATTTGCTTTTCCGAGATGTCACTCCCCATGTTCATTTATTCATTCAACTCATTTACTGAGGGCCTGCCATGGGCCAGACCCTGTTCAAGGAACTTCTGATACAGTGATGAATAAATCATACAAATAGCCCTGCTTTCATGGAACCATCTAGTGGGGGATGAGACAGGTAAAAGAATTACTAATTAAATTACAGACATCATGCCCCAAACATTGCTCTATATGAGAAACTATGCTGAGCAACCTGCCACTCACTCGTCTGTGTGAACCACACAGCTGCCCCGGGAGGTATATATGTTCAGGCTCTTTTTTACAAACGAGGGGAAAATCAGGGCACATAGAGTAAAGTTCCTGTGTCCAAAGTTCTGGCTAGTGGTGGTGTTGGGTGCCATCAAGTTAACTCTGACTCCTATGATCCCAGCATATCAAAACCTGTGCCATCCACTTGATCTCTGCTGTGCTCAAGCCCATTGTTGCATTTGTTGCGTCAGTCCATCTTTTTAAGGGTCTTCTTGCTAATAGTAAACCAGAAAACAGCTCCAGCCGAGGCCACCTTCCCCTAAACCCTGCTCCTGACTGCTCCACAGGAGATTCTTTCCCCGTCCACTTTTCCCTTTTCCAAATTGGGATTCCTCTTGCCCTGATCCCTTAGGGAGCTAGGGACTTCTGTCAGCTCCCATACCTCATGGATGTGGGTGTTACAAGGTCGCCCGTGTTCACACGTACCCTCCATATCCACCACACTGGAAGTCAGGGAGCAGGCTCCTGGGTCTCACTAAAGCGTTTGCAGCCGCCATGACAGCATCTGCCAGTGTCGGGCCTTTCTCCAGATCTGAATGCAGCTCATGTTCAGAGGAAGTAGTGGTGCCATTCCTCAGGCCTAAGAGTTTGGGTTGACACCATCAGGGCCTCTGTTAGTGTGATCAGAGCGCCATGGGTCCATCCTGGTTCCCTAGACAACACCCCTCAATGGCTCAGCTCTGCTTGGAAACCCTGAGTAGTATTCCCAGAAGCATCACGATAGGTGAGAGGTCAGTACCTTCCTCTGTGGCTAGGGGCAGGGAGGGCTGGCCAGGCTTGCGTGTCTTTATGTGTAGTCTGGATGCCCCATGATTCTCCCTGCTGCCACTTGTGCCCTCTGGCTCTTCCAAACTCATGCCGTTCCTGAAGGATGAAACAGGAAACCCAACGCAGCAGAAAGTCCTGGACTGGGAGGCCAGAGACACAGGTTCTATCTTTGGCCTTGCCACTTAGCCAGCAGGCAGCCTGGACCTTCAGTCCTCTTCTCTCAGCCTCAGTCATTTCACTGGTTAAAGGCTGAATGCAGCCTTGCCTCCCTGCTGGCGGATGGGTGGCTCATTTCTGTGCCAGGCACTGCCCACTCTGGAATCCTCCCTGGGCTCAGATCTCACGTCTGCATGTCAGTCTGTGTGCCAGGCACAGTCCTGGGCATTAAATACATGCGGCTTGAAAAGGCAAGGAGGCTTGTTATTAAGAGTTTTTCATTCTGTTAGTAACTATAGAACCCTGAGGAAGTCACTGATCTCTTGGCCTAAATGTTTCCAGCTAGAAAATAGACATGGTATTAGCACTTAGAACCGATGCCCTTGAGTCGTGGTGCTGTTGAAGAGTATTGAACATACCATGGACTGCCAAGAGACAAACAAGTCTGTCTTGGAGAGGGTGAAACCAAGTTTCTCCTTGAAGGTTAGGATTTTATTTATTTTTTTTTTTTAATTTATTGTGTGTGTACTGTCAAATCAGATCTGACTGGTACAGGAGGAGATTGTCCCTCCTTTTCTAGCAGAGCATCTGGTGGACTCAAACCACTAATCTCTGGGATTGCAGTGCAGCTTCTTGTCAGTAGGCCACCAGACCTCGCCAGAGGCAGAGATTTTGAAGCTCTCTGTCACGTACTTTGGATACGTGGCCAGGAGGGACCAAACCTTGGAGAAGGACATCATGCTTGGAAGGGTGAAGGGACAGCACAGGAGAGAAAGATCCTAGAAGAGATGGAATAACACAATAACTGGGCTAACAGGGGTAGGTGTGTCATAGTCAGAGAGACTGGCTCAGGACAGGGCAGGGTTCAGAGCTGTTGTACATAGAGTGGCTATGAGTCACAGGTGACTCAGTGGCACATTACAACAACAATTAGCACTTACATTACTGAGTCCCTGTCTGGTTTGATAAAGCCCTTCACCTAGTTGGATTCAGTGAACAGTTCCTGGCATGTTATTACAAAAAGGACAGTTTGAGATTCCCTGGGCTTGTGTGGGAATGCTTGCTGCCCGGTGAGAGCCCCCTGCTGAACTTGTTTACTGGAAAGCACCCCCTTCCCCGCCCCCCCAGCATAGCCCCAAGCCCAGAGCTAGAGTTTCAGGTCTGTCCACTCCACTGTTTCTGCTCAAGGGCACCACATCCATGCTGGATGCAGGACCACCCCTACCTTAGTCCCCAACTCATGCTCTGGCCAGAGAGGAAGCATCACTTTTAGAGCCATGCAGAGCTAAGGCAGTCAACACAGAGGGTGGGCTGTGGATTGATGACTTGCATATCCACAGGGACCTGGCATGGTGAAGGTACTCGGAGAGAGGCACTGACCAAAGGGTTCACTAAACAGGGTCACCAGAGCCACGGTGGGGATAGAAAAGTCTCTGTGGTGTTAGGTGCTGTCAAGGCAACTGTGAATCATAACAACCCTATGAACAACAGTTCTGAACCTTGCCCTGTCGTCGTCCCCTTGGGCAGAGCCACCGTGGCTCATCCCACGGCTGTTGTTGGCAGCAGTCAGGCAGGGCACTCCACTGAAGCCCTGTGCTGCAGGCAAATCGACCATCCCTGTTTGAAAGAGGATTGTCAGGCTCAGTTGAAAAGGCTGTGTGGTACCTTCTAGAGGCAGAGCCAAAGCCTGGACCAGTGCCTCGGTGCCCACATGCACACCTTCCCCCTGATTGTCTTAGGTGAGCTTGCCCTATGTTCTCTTTCTGTGACAGCCAGGGACCTTCAGACCAGGGTCCCTGCCCCAGGACTTATCCAGCGAGCCTAGGAGAGTGGTCTGACTTAGTTGACTGACTGAGTACTGCTTGGCTTCCCACAGTGATGTCATTGAGGTGCCTGACAGCACCTCATCATGCAAAAAAATGTCATGTCTGGGAACTCCAAGACAGGACACTGTCACAGGGGGCAGTGGGGCCGAGACTTCAGAGCTGCCCAGCTTCTCATGTTTTGTGTTTGAGTCAGGGCCTCTGTTGCTGATGAGTAGAGGTGGGTTTCCCCAAATGTGGGAAGAGTGGGGCTCTCATAGTCAGACAACCCAGCTCCAGGACTTTCCAGATCACATAATATCCCCGCCTCACTTTCCTCTTTGGGTAATGGTGGTGGTACTGAACTCAAGAGAGCTGTGGTAGAGATTTGGTGAAGCAAAAGCATTGATCACAGAGCTGTCACAATGTGAATGCTCAAATAAAGGTCAGTTCCCTGCTGTTTTACAGATGAGGAAATCAGCCCAGAAAGGTTAGCTGGTATTCATGTAGCAAATATTTGCTGAGTCCATCTAGGCTCTGTGACTCAGCAGTGAACAAAGACTTGTAGTTGAGCAGGAGATGGAGAGCAAGCCCTAGATGAGGGAGCTCCTTCTCCCTCCTCCCTTAGAGATAGACGCTGGGAGAGAACCTGCCAGGACTGGGTGGTCATTGTTCCACGCCGTTGTCTCAGCTCCACAAGTATTCATGTACCACCTGCCCCATGAGCCCCTCTCGGGGGGACAGGGCAGATCGGGGGCCTCTACAAAGGAGTTGTGTGACCTGTGACAAGTGACTGCTTGGAGGTCAGGAGGTCAGGAAAGGCATCGGTGTTGTCCTGCTGAGCTTGGTCTTGAGCACACACAAGAGTCAAGCTGAGTAACAATGAGAGAATGGAATCCCAAAGTCTCTGTAAACTTTCATTGAAATTAATTTTTAAAAAACACAAAAAAACAAAAGATTCAAGCTGATGAGTGGGAAACAGAGCTCAAGGCCCTGAGATGGAGGGAGTGACTGGGAAACAGGAAGGGGATATCCTGGGTGAGGTGCAAGGTGGAAGGTCCTGGAGCGAGTTAGTTTAGAGTAGAGCTGGTGACTGAGGGGCAGAGGGCCCAGCACAAGGCCCCCTCCTTCCCTGCCAGGGGTCGGGCTCCCTGGGCTGAGTGTGTGCATCCACCCGCAGGCCGGCCGTACCGGGGCAAGCCGAGCGACATGTGGGCCCTGGGTGTGGTGCTGTTCACCATGCTCTACGGCCAGTTCCCCTTCTACGACAGCATCCCACAGGAGCTCTTCCGCAAGATCAAGGCTGCCGAGTACACCATCCCTGAGTGAGTCTGCCTCCTGGGAAGGGGAGGGTTCCCAGCCCTTTTGTGGTCAGACCATCCAGCACCAGCAGGCCCTGCCTGAGCCTCTCACTCTCCGTCTATCTGTGCAGGGACGGGCGGGTCTCTGAGAACACCGTGTGTCTCATCCGAAAGCTGCTGGTCCTTGACCCCCAGCAGCGACTTGCCGCCACTGATGTCCTGGAGGCCCTCAGTGCCATCATTGCTTCTTGGTAAGTGAACAGCACTGGCATTGAGATGCTCCACCTCCCCCTGGACACTGCCCTTTCAGTCCAAAGAAAAGTGAGGCAGATAGAATGCTGACTCTCCCCTCATGGGCAGGGTTGGGCGGGAGGGTGCGAGCGGAGCTGAGGATCCATTTGCAAGATCTTTGCCAAGTGTCACCACTTTCGAGTCACTTCTGAGTCATATTCACCCACTGTTCGGTTTCCAAAGCTGTAAATCATCCTGAGAGGGCCCTGCCCATCTTTCTCCCTCTGAGCATCTGGTGAATTTAAACTGCCAGAGATGTAGCCTTTTGGTTTGCGGCTCAACCAACATCCCTACAAACTGTGCCGTTTATGCCAAGTATAGGATGGGCCTTATCGCATCATAGCCTCAGGTAGAAATTGTCTCCCTTTTTTGGATGATAAAACTGGGACCCAGTGAAGTGATGCCAGGAAGAAGCTAAGCGGGCACCCGGGCCCAGTTCTGTCTGGCATCAGCCAGGTTTGGGAGCAGTGGGCACTGGCTTCTGGAGAGCAGGGACCTCTGGCCGCCCTAGCCAGTCTGACCTGTCTTTGTCCCTGCAGGCAGTCGCTGTCATCTTTGAGTGGACCTTTGCAAGTAGTTCCAGACATCGATGACCAAATGAGCAATGCCGACAGCTCCCAGGAGGTGAGGTGGATCAGGCAGATGACCCTTAATGCCACCTGAGGGAGGGGTGGGGACAGCCACTCGCCAGCAATGTCAGGATTGGCTTCCTTAGCACTTGGAAGAGTGGAAGGCGTCTCTTGATGCCAGCTGTGGGTCAGGCTGAAAGGCCCCACCACAGTCCGGATGGGCCCCTACTCATCCTCCTGGCTCTGCCTGTGCTGGCCCTTTAAAGTCACATTTCTCTGCCCCTCTGACTCATGTCACCCTTCCTGCTTTTCATTTTTTAGATGATTCATTTGTGCCTTGCACTGGAGAAAGTGCTGGGCCTGGGTGGGGACAGACTCCATCCCTAGACAGCAGGCAGATGAGCTTAGATTGCCCTCTGGAGGGCAGGGCTAGGCCGAGCTTGAGGGGTGCTCAGGGGTCTTCTGTCCTTAGCCCACTCTGGAGATGCCCAGCAGGTATGGGCACTAGGAGCTAGAGAGGCTGTACTGGGGACCCTTGAGGGAAAGAGGAGTTCTGGACCCTGACTCTTAACGTCTCTACCTCTTCCTCTACCTCTTTGAGTTTTTCATCTGGTAGAAATAATCATGACTATACTCACTCCCGATATTTCTCACTCCTCCCTCGCTCCCAGTCTGTGAGGCCTAAGTTCTTATGTCCATCTCACAAAAGAGGAAACAGGTCAGGAAGGGACAATAATTTGTCCAGAGTCACAAAGCTCAGAAACTGTGGAGCTGAGCCTTGAACCCAGGTCTGAGTCCAGAGCCTTACCCTCTGGTGAGCACAGGGTCCCACCACTCCACTTTCTGCTCCCTGGCTGGGCCACTCCAGGGAGAAGTAGCTAGGGAGCCCACTTGTGTGGCCAAGGTAAGATCTCCCAGGTGCTGAGCCCTTGAACACCAGGTGCCCCTCCAGGCTCCCAGGAACCTTGGTGAGGGCAGAGTATGGCACATTCATTGCACAGAGGAGCTAAATCTTAACAGATGACATGACCTTCCTCTCCAGCTTTTCCAAACTCACACGAATCTTTAGATATTACATGAAAAAGAAAGAGATGAGCTCTGATTGCACCAACACCCAGAACTGGGGTCCAGAGAAGCAGAACCTCCAGAACCCCATACTCAGCCATCTGGCCCTGATCAGGATCCAGGCTGTTCCCACTCACTCCCTGCTCTTCCGCCTCTGGCTTTCTCTCTCCTGTCTGCACTGGGCTCTCTGTGTGGCCCTGTCTTTGTTACTGTCCTTTATCTACGTGTCTGGCTTTTCACCTTGCAGGCAAAGGTAACAGAGGAGTGCTCCCAGTACGAGTTTGAGAACTACATGCGGCAGCAGCTGCTGCTGGCCGAGGAGAAGAGCTCCGTCCACGAGGCCCGCAGCTGGGTGCCCAAGCGCCAGTTTGGCAGCGTGCCTCCAGTGAGACGGTTGGGCCACGACGCACAGCCCATCAACCCCTTGGACGCGGCCATCCTGGCACAACGCTATCTGCGGAAATAGCGGTCTCTGTCAGGGCCACCAGCACCACCTGCTGCCTCTTTCCTGTCCCCAGCCCAAGCCCAGCCTTGGGGCAGGGCCCTGTAGCGCTGGAATCTTCCCCCAGGCTGTGACAGGGATGGGGGTAGGGATAGTCCGGGTCACACATGGGGTCAGCAGAGGTACCAGGAAGCTACCTTTCGGAATGATTGCTTGATTGTTTGGTTTTTAATCTGAGAAGCCTAGATAACTAATCTGCTTTTAATCATGACGTTTTAATCTACCTCTGTCTCTTTAACCATGCTGTCTCTGGACTGAGTGAGAGGGAGGAGGAGGAAGCCCACCTGCCCAGCCAGGGGTTTGACCTGGCCACCCCTCTGCCCTGCCCTGGGCAGCTGCTCCCCACAGTCCAAATAAGCTGAACGTGCAGCTTGCTGCTGGCCCCTAAAACAGTGCCCACTCCTCACTGCACTCCCAGGCCCCTCCCACCACCTCCACTTTCTTCCCTCACCTTCTTCCCCTTTCTGGCCCCAGAACCCTCAGTCCAAGCTTTGGAAAACCTTCACCTCATCTTAAGTCGAATTCAAATATATTTATTTTTTTACTGAAACCAACTTCTCTTCCATCTCCAGGTGGCCTGGGGCTGCTCCCTACCCCAGCCTGGCTGGGCAGCCTGGGCTGTCCCACCACAGCCCCAGAGGGTCCCCTCCTCGCCCTGCAGGCCCTGAGAAGCCCCTTCTTGCCAGTCCACTCCACTCAGCCCACCAGTCCCTCTTCCTTTCTGGGGGTGGGGAGGCCTTTCTGGACTTGGTTCTTTTCTCCCCATCTCAGTAGCTTCTCTGAGGTGCTGCAAACTTGCATTAACCCTGGTTTCCTTCTCCATCCTTCCCCTGGTACCGAGGTAGCATTGATGTTACAATGTGAAGGGGGGTCCCTGCTGGCCAGGCTCGGGATGACCACTCTTCTGGCCTGTGCGCTGGGTGAGGTTCCCTGCCTGCACTTGCCCTCTCCTGCTCTGCGTTGAGATACTGCTGGGAACAACATCTCCTGTCTCCCAGATGTGGTGTCTCCCAGCCGACCCTGCCCAGGGCCCTCCGTGGGGACGAGATGCTCATGGGGAGAACTGGGTGGGCTGGAGGACCCGCCTCGCCTGGCTTGAGAACAGCCCTGCTGCCCTTTTTGAGCCGAGTTTTTTGAAGTGGATGCCCGTCTTGCCAGAATCGCTGTTCTCACCAGATTGCCCTCTCCGTGCCCTCTCCCTCACTGGACTTGGCCCTGCCCATGCCAAGAAAAGACGTTTTCCCAGAAGCCTATCCACCCATGCCCCCAACCAACTGCAGGACCCTCCTCCTGCCTGCCCTTGCTCCCGATGGGGAGGTGCCCGAGGCCTCAGTGGTCGTGTCCCCAGAGTGTGAGCTGCCCCTACCCCCAAAGCTGACTCACTGTGAGTGACCTTGGGCGAGTTCCCAAACTTCCTTGTGCCTCAGTTTCCCCATTTGGAAAAAAATGGGGCCACCTCTTGCCAGCAGTAGCAGGGCCGCCCTTGCCCCTTCCTCCCCATACTCCTCCATCCTAGCACCTGGGCGGCTCGTGCCTCTGCCTCTGGGTCGGTGGGAGCACTCCTGAGCCCAGCACTTACTCCTCTGGGCACCAAGCTCTGCCTCTGCTCAGCCATTCAGCCGCCGAGAGCCAGGGTATTGTGCTGTGGAGGGTGGGGGTGCCCTCTTTTCTATATTTATTTCAAAAAAAAATTCTCCTAAGGGAATTAGAAAGGTAGTCTGACCTAGGGCTCCCAGCCCCTGTGACTTTGGTCCTGTGAGGGTCTGAGAGGACGCAGCCCGCCTCTGCGAGCCCTCGTGCCAGCGGCCGTCCCAGACCCCCAGGGCCGCTCTCCAAGTGTAGTCCTCCTCCTCCTTTTCAAAGCAATATCCTCTGGTCTGCAAGGCCCTTCAGACAGACTGGTCCCTTCCAAGACTCAATATGTGTCTGGTTGCATTTCTGGGAAAGCAAACAAGAGGAGGTTGGGTCTGCCCTCACTGGCTGTCACATACTGAGAGAAGTCCTATTGTAAAGAAACAAAATGGAAAAAGTCACAAAAAAGTTTGTATAAAGACATATTTTTGTACTACATGGGGACTCTTCCTGCATGTCAGCAATAAAGTTTCCTGAGCTGGAGCCACTGTGCCTGTTTTTTGTATCTGTTCTTGCTCTTCTGCTGACCTCTCAGGTCCACCCAGGCAAGTCCTGTCACAAGGTCCCCTGAATATGCCCCCAGCCAGCAGGTGGCACCTTTCAGCACTTTGGATGAGGGAAGAGACCTAGACGCCTAAGTGCCCAGGTGGCAGCACCCTGCTTGGCGTGCCTGGGCCCCAGCCCACTACAGGCAGGAGATAGCCCGAAAGTGGCTGCAGCTGAAGCCTCTCTTCCAGCCACACCCCATCTGGAGTAGGGGTGTAGGGGACCTGGTCAGGCTGAGATTACCATCTGCACCCTCACTCCCTTCCCTTTCCCAGTCTTTCCCCGCCTCTCTGCTCCCTTCCAGGGGGGCTTCCTTACTTCCTTCCTTCCTTTGCCTAAATTTAGACTTTCCAGAGAGCTTCCTGAGCACTGAAGCTGGAAGCAGGCTGGCTCTTTCATCGCACATCCCTCTGCACATGCTGCAGGCACTACTTTTGTGTTAGTAACCAGGAGGGCTTAGTAACTCACCCACCTTCGTGTTCACATTAAGACCCAGGTTAGAGAAGGAGCAGAAGCTCACATGGCTGAGCCCCTTTATCAGGCTTCCCAAAGCAAGACAAGGAGTAGATAGTGTAAGTTGGGATTCTAGTTCCGGCCCACAGCACCTTTGTCCGCCCCTACTCAGCACTTTGTCCAGTAACCAGCATCCTGACCAAATTATGCCCAGTTCATCTGGCCCATACTTCATCATCCAAGCCCTCAGATGCCCACCAGAAAGTGCCCACAGACCTCTCTACAGCATCCACTGCTGCTCTCTGGCTCGCGACCTGGTCTTTGTCCCTGCAGCTCCCTCCTGCCCTACCCCACTCATGTCTGTCACACATTTCTCCCCTGGGTGCATGCGTGGGCAGGCGTGCACGAGGGCTCCCACACGGCAGGGACTCCGTTTGGCTTGGTCTTGTATCCACACACCCAGACTGAGCCCTGCACTCAGGAACTGTTCCTAACTTGATAAGTTTTTCTTGTGAGCCCTGAAGGAAAAGGGAGGGAAGGTACAGAAAGGTAGGTATGCTCTTCTGATAAGATGATCATAATGAGAAGTTTCCATTTATTTTGGCCACCGTCTGTTCTCCAGGATCCCATCAGAAAGAAGCCAGACAGGAGCTGTTGAGCTCTCTGACTGGGAAAGGAAGTGAGGGAATAGAGTCTCCACAGGGTGGTTCAGGTTCCAGACTCATTCTTGGTACTCTAATGGGGGATGTCTAGTGCACTGCTCATCAGAACATACTCAGAATGTGACCATTTTCACAACTCTGTTTCCTGGTCTAAGCAGCCACTTCGCTACATTCCTTGTCCCACTGAGTAACAGCCCAGTCTCCACACAACAGCCACAGTGGACCATTTATAATGGAGAGCTTGGTCTGCTTGTAACCTCTGGTGATTTCTACATCGCACAGGCTCAAGTCCAAAAGATTGACACTGACTGACACGGTTCCACTTCCTCAGGTCCCTGGCAACCTTTTAAGTTCTTTGCAGCTTCCTTGCTGATCCTTGAACAAGTAAACCTCTGTCTTCTACCTCAGAGCCTTTTCCTTGGCTGTTCTTTCCACCTGGAAAGCTTTGCATGTGGTAATGATCTGATGATTCTAGAGAATGAAGTCTAAGCTGCACTGAAGTTGTTATGTGCTGTTGAAGATATTGGCAAAAGAACAAGACTTCAGAAATTAAAGGAGTGTAACTGAGATGTTTCAACAAACAGGTTCTGCATGAGCACAATTAAATGTTCTGGAATTTCCATTCTTTGTGAGGTTATCCATAACTTATGATCTGCACAGTCTAAAGTCTTTGCACAGTCAATAAAATAGGTAAGCATTTTTCTGCTATTTTCTGCCTCCAGCCAAAAGTCATCTAACATCAACAATGATATCCTCCCCGGTTATCCTCTTGAATTTCTGGCAGTTCCTTGTTGACATATTGCTGCAGCCATTTTGAAATTGTCTTCGCTTCATGCTTTCCTTGTGTGTGATGTTAATTATACTGTTCAGTAATTTCCATGCTCTGTCATATCATCTTTCTTTGGAATGCACACGAAGTGCATGAGGTCGCTGTGAATAACCCCTAATAACAACGTCCTCACTTCTTTCAGGTACCAGCTCAAATGTTACCTCAAAGAGGCCTCCTCTGTCCACCTGCTATTCTCCAGGCCCTCCCCCAATAACTCTTCTTTACTATAATTATCACAGTCTGACATTATAGACTTGTTATATCTGTTTTTCTGTTGTGTACATATGTGAGCAGGAATCTGGGGAGTGGGTGGTCACAATGACTGGGAGGCACTGTTTGGTACTTAGCGGGGAGCCAGGGACACCAAAGAGTCCCACAGGGAAGGCAGGTTCTATGTCCTACATGACACAGGCTGTTAAAAGAGCAGAGGCCGTGTGGAGACAGGCATGTCTGACCTTTACTTACTTCACAAAGGGGTACTATCCCCATCAACAACAAAAAACCAATTCCCATGAGGTCAGGCATATCCCCCACGCTCTTGCACCTCTTTTTACTCATCCCAACACCAGTGTTACTTGTTAGAAAATCCAATGTCATCGCTCACAGACCACAAAGAACCATACTGGGGAAGTCAAGTCAGGTTAGTAGCAGAAAATGGGACAGCTTCCAAAACGTGCTCATAGCTGCCTCAGCCTAGTAGTTCTAGGCCAGTGTTAAAAAGTGCTCAGTCCTGCCAATTATGGCTCTTCCTGTATCCCTCAGTTGTCCAACAAACTTGGGCAAAGTCTCTAAGCTCCAATCCCATGGAGTATCAATCCCAAGGTACCATCTCCTGTGAGGTC